AAGTTTTTGAAATGAAAAATCTGCTAAAGTTGATGATGTTCCACGAACTAATGGAACAAGTACATCACGAAAAACAGCTTGATCAAGATATTGATTTGCGTATGGCCATGCTTGTTTTATTATTCGATTTATCCATTCTGCTCGTTCTATGTCAGGAAAAAATACCTATAAGAGAAATGAATATATTTGTTTTTTGTTTGAAAAATTTTATTTACCCATGATGGTAATTCATCGAAACATGCTTTAATATATTGTTCTTCATTTTTATTTATTTCATTTAACTTTTTATGTCGTAGTAGAGATTGAGTACATTGATGTTTTCGAAATATATATATAAATACAGCTAATAAAATCCATGATATACTGAAATGAAAATATCCTAAAGAAAGATCAAACAAATTTTGTTTGGTTTTATTTAAATTATTTTCTTATTAGTTTTACAACTCTAATATTTATAAAAGATAATAGACTATTAATTTTTCTTGCTATATACATATCAAAAAGTATTTATTATATATCAGTCAAGCAATACCATGGGCGGCGCGCCAGCACTGCAAGGGGCTGCAATTGCGTCCCCTAAAAAAATGTGGGGACGCAATAAAAATTTATTGCGACCACAAATTTTTTGTGCCTTCTTTGTAGACCTTGGGCGACGCACCAGCAATGCAAGGGAAAGCAATAAAAATTTATTGCTTTTCCAAGTTGCTCATGCTTCTTTGATAAACTAGAATAAAAATATATAACTTAACATAGATTCTATACGATTTCAGATTAAAATAGGATGATTGATCCATCGACTATTATCTTATGAAATTTTTATTACTATCTTGATGAATGCGTTCACAGTTGTATACATCCGACATGCTTCATTCAAGTCAAATATAATCGGATGAATCCAAGGGATTTCTACCACTTTTGTGGAAAAAAATTTTTTTTCGCTTTGAATAGTCTAGTGAGATGTACCATAGTCGAAAACGGTCTGAGACAACAATTAAAACCTTTCTGGACATATAAGAGGTGGAGAACCAAATCATTTTTTAGGAACACTCCACACACATAAACAGCATCCTATAATAAATTGTTAATCATATTTTTCTTACTTTTTGTTGACATAGAGAGGTGAAATTTTTATCACATGTACAGGGTG